AACAGCAGCCGGCGGCGCCGAGCCCTGTGCCGGACGGGCCGGTCGGCCGTGCCGCTACAGGCTGTTGTTTCTCGCTGACGACCTGCCGCCGCTGCCAAGACAAATGTGCTCCCCGTCCGCGGCGCCGCGGCCTCCAGCCGCCCCAATACCTGTCCGCTGTTGGCTCAGCCCGGAAGCGTCGACAGCAAAAACAGAGAGGAATCTGCCGCATCGCACGTCATCCGGATACCCGTTACGCAGCTCAACAATTTGTTCCGCTCGTCTTGTTTAGGTTTTTGTGTTTTCCTCCACTCGCCTGTAATCCGTCTGTCCCTTCCACAAATCTCCCCCCCCCCCCCCCCATCTCTCCCTCTCCGCCCCAGAAGCATCGCGGGTATAGGCATATGCCTATCTCTCACCCTGGAAAGGGACGTGGTTGAAGGTGTACTACAGCATTTATACGCCAAATTGAGCTATCTTTTCTAGCTAACTGTAGCCCAAATTCAATGTTGCGCATTCAAAATGTTGTTGAAATTTTAGCTTTTGAGCCCGTGGAGGGACTTAATGCTAGGTCTCTTTGTCCAAATCGATCGAAAACGAACTTATCATGAAACTTAATTACAAAAACACCACTTGTAACGAATAAAGTCTTTCATTCTTTCCATCCATGTAGTCGAGTAGCATTAAATTTGTGATTCGGTTTTTCACAACCCAGAGCCATCGAGGGCATCTTAACCACTTAAATGTCAATAAGACCGCCAACAATAGAACCATGAGCATCAGACCTTCCTTTTCTGTGGTCAGTGAAGCCGCACAACGGATTCATTCGAGCACAGTCCAGCTAAAAATTGCAGGCTTTATCCAGGACTATAAACTTCGTAATGCTGGCTGTATCCAAGTCACAAACAGGGTCTGCGCGGCGTATCTAGTGCCACAAACTTTGATGCAACAGCGGAACGTAATTCCGCAGCCCTCCCTGGGGAGCTCGAACTCGACGTGGACATTCAGAACGTGCGTGGGCATATGCTCCATAGCGTTCAGATACAACGTCGCATGTCCAAATAAACAACGAACCTGGGAGCGCCATCCTGTCACCACAATGCACCGCCTCACCTGCCAGAGACTGGCACCGTCAGCGCAGCGGCGGCGGCGTTGCGAGGCTTCATCAGAGGCCCGCCCGCGCGCGGAACACGGCCGCGGCGTGTCCTCCATAGGCCGGGAACACGGCCGTGGCGTGTCCTCCATCGGCCGCGGCACGCGAGCGGGTGATCAGCGTGTGACGGCCGGGCCGGTGCCGGCCGCCGCCACCGGCGCGCCTGGCACCACGGCCGCCCGGCCACGCACGGAGTCCGCCTGACCGGCAGCGGCGGGCCAGCCGACAGGCACGCGCCGCGAACAGCCAGGCGGCCGGGACGGGGCGTGAGTGACGGTGGCGTCGGCACACACCATCGGACGGTGGTCGGAGGTGTTTACAGGCGAGACAAGCAATGAGGAGGGTGCTTACAAGTGGGCGAGCAGTCACAGCTTACCACAGGAGAGATGGGGGAGGGTGGCTGGAGGAAGGGAGGAGGCTGGAGGAGCGCTAAAGGCGATATTTAGGTCGCTGCTTTCCGTCTGGCGCCAAATGGGTTAATGCAAATGCATCCCGAAGATCCGGTCGGTCGCAACTTCTGCGCCCCTCCCCCCCCCCCGCCCCTCATCGTCCCTAAAGACGAGCGATGACGAGGCTGTTTACAAGTGCGTCGATGAATGATGAGGCTGTTTATAAGTGTGGCGAGCAGCGGTGAGATTGTTTACAGGTGTCGCGTGCAGTGGTGATGCCGTTTACAGGAGTAAAGAGCAGTAGTGACGCTGTTTACAGGAATAAAGAACAGTGGTTTACTGGTGTGTCGGCAGGTGATGTGACTGTTTGCATGTACGACGAGTAGTGGCGACGGTGTTTACAAGCGCGGTGAGCCGCAGTGAGGTTGTATGAAGCTGTGGTGGTTGCAGAGAAACACGTTTAAGCATGTTTTGTTGGGTCCACCCGGAAGGGAGAGATGGGCGAAACGCCCCTTGGAGGAATATACCCCCATTGATTATTGGTATCACTAGGGGCTACTAACAATAAGTGACTTAGTCATATTTATTGACCTTTTCTTGCTCTTTTGACTCTGTTTTTTATGTTGACGACTCAAGAGAATGGACGAGGACAAACGAAGTTTTTCGCACTGATGGATGTTACGTTTTGTAAAAGCTAGTCCACTGAAGCTAAAATTCCACATTTGTCGCCCAAACTTTTTACTGAACCTACGAAAATGTTTATATATCATATGATAACAAGTAGATGCGAATACAAGTTTACACGTAGATTGTGTAGATGTACACATGTAGGAATAACATGCATGCGATTTACATATACCCTGACTCACAACAGTGCACTATCTATGACAGATGCGTGGAGACTGACAAAGACAGAGTAGCACAGAGATGGGCTGAGCTGAGCTGATCTCGGCGACGATTTCGACTCGCTGGAACTTGGGGTTCGTTTGCCTGAGCTTCTGCCTGCTTAGGATCTGCATAACTCAAAGGTGGAAAATCAGCCGTCCACGTCGTTTGTGCGGTGTCCATGAGGTGTTTTAAGGCGGTTTTAGGTAAAGATCGCGAGACCAAGCTTTTCATTTGGCATTGACTTGATCAGAGGGACCACTCATAACCAGACAAGATGGCCAACATTCATCAGCGGAATGGTAATCCGGAGGTCGTCCTAGGCCAATAATTAGTTTCATTCCATGCATATTTAAAAGCTCCGTAGTTACAGATACGTCATCGGTTTTGTTTTGGCTCGACATGACTTGTTAGCCACAGAAAACACCGTGAATTGATTTACTCGGAGTTTTAGACGGCCTTTCGAGCTATCTCCTCGGTTATGAGATCTTTACTCTGGCTCATCAGGTGTAGAATCGACAGAGAGAAAGCTGAGCTTACGGCGAGTAGCGTGATGAAACTACCGAGATGACCTTATGCGCAGCCGGGAGGGAGCGTTTGCGCAAAACATCATCTACGTCATGTGCATTTACGTCATTATGTTACAATCATATAATTTCATATCATCATATCTATCTCCTCCGAAAAGACTTGTTATACTTTTAAATGCCGTTATTCAAAGGAAACTGTTCGCTAAAGTTAATAAGCTTCATTTGCTTGGTTTGATCAGAGTTGTTTATTACCATAATTTTTTCTAGAAGGAGAGATTTTACCGCTCTCTGTCAAAATATATAGCCTTTAGAGGACCTTTCTGTGCATTGTTCTATGTGAAACTTTAAAGCTATAAGATTGGGGTCCAGGTCTATCAAAATACGGCTCTGAGAAGGGAATTATTTATTGCTATTACAAAAAAATACACGGAAAAGTGTTAATATGGCTAGTTGCCTATATGTGTGACGACATCGATGAGCATATCACCCAGATAATTTTTTTGCCTGCAAAACCGCGATTAAGTTGTGGATATGGGTATGGCAAACAATGCCACGATCAAAGACGTCAGCCAAGTGAGAGATACGGGACGGAATAAGGATAGTGGCATTTATTGTGGAAGCAAGATCGCTAGTGGTAATGCAGGGCCTACAGAAAAAATGGAATACGCTCGAACACCCACTCTCAAGTCCCACAAACATATCTTTTTTTATCTTCCACAAGGTGCGTTGGTAAGAAAGATGCTGCCCCCAATTTTCAGTCGTTGCCCCACACAGCATTGTTTTTCCCTCAACGCTTGTCTATAGCAGCTGACAATTGGATAGAAAGCCATGTTAAAATCGAGAGGGCTGACGCAATGCCTGAAGCCTTGCATTATAGCCCTATAGCTGCTGACTATTGGGTGGAGATCTATGTTGAAACTGGGAAAGCTGACGTGCCTGTGGTCTCGTATTGTAGCTCTATAGCTCGACGTGCCTGAGGTCCCGTATTGTAGCTCTATAGCTCGACGTGCCTGAGGTCTCGTATTGTAGCTCTATAGCTCGACGTGTCTGAGGTCTCGTATTGTAGCTCTATAGCTCGACGTGCCTGAGGTTTCGTATTGTAGCTCTATAGCTCGACGTGCCTGAGGTCTCGTATTGTAGCTCTATAGCTCGACGTGCCTGAGGTCTCGTATTGTAGCTCTATAGCTCGAAGTGCCTGAGGTCTTGTATTGTAGCTCTATAGCTCGACGTGCCTGAGGTCTCGTATTGTAGCTCTATAGCTCGACGTGCCTGAGGTCCCGTATTGTAGCTCTATAGCTCGGTGCCATGCCCTGGCTTATTAATCGCATAGCCAAATAAAGCGTCCGCTGTAGACTAGAGTTTCCTTGGAAATACAATGGACATAAAGGAAACATTTGTATGTTCAAATGCGTATCTATGTGGACATGGAACGTTGCCGAGTGTAAGCTTTGTTCGGCTCAAAGTTTTATTCGTTTACTTCAACTGACAGTGATATACGCATGGCTTGCAAAATAAGTTACGGCTATGACATTTGGCAACGTGTCCTAGTTCTCGGTCGTGTTATCTTTTCCGTGAAGCCGTGTCCAATATTTCTGTCTCGGAATGTGTCATCATTTGTTAGCGTCTTAATGCGTGATTCCATTCGTGCAAAGGCAATCTCGACATGACGCTAGTAATGCTCCTCTAAACCAGACGCGGCAATGAGTGCTGCGGCGACCGCAAATTCTTACAGCTGCTTTGACTCCACGTCGGTATGAAGCTAGCTACCGCTCAATTGAATGTCATCGAATTTGCATCGCCCGGTCGAAGCTCCACATGGGGGAGGGAAAAGCGCCGCCGGGCTCCCTCGCTGGGCACGGCAAACGGGCGCGTATTTGTTCTGAAAACAAGCGGCGCGGTCGGCGCGGGGCATTCTCCCCGGCGGCCGGCCGCCGACTCCTGTTGCGATTGGCAGCGTGGCGGCGCCGGGCCGGCGGCCCCACCTGAGCCGCCGTCGCCGCCGACGGCCGGCGCCGCGTCGGCCGCGACGGCCCGTCGGCGGCGGCGCGCCAGTGCCGACTCGGCGGCGGCGGAGCGGGGCGGTGCGCCAGGATCGTCTCCGAGGCTCGCCTCAGGCGTCTCGGCGGCCAGCGGCGGCGGTGGCGCGCGCGCGGCCGACTGGGAGGGCGTGGTGACCGGCGCCAGAGTGACGCCGCGCAGGGGCCTCTCGTCACAGGCAGGAGCAGCGACTAACAGGTGAGGGGCCTCGGGAGCAGACTGGCTCGGTTGGCCTGGCTGCTTAGCTGGTGGTGCGGAGGCTCGCGATGCCCCGTCTCGGCCAGGTGTGATGCTGCAGGGAGGGGGGGGGGGGGGGGGGGCAAAGCGGACAATGCCTCTTGCCGCCAGGCATGGGTGAGTGAGTGGAAGCAAAAATATGCTTTTGCCCCCAACTTTTTTGGGAAGCCCCTTCCCCAAACTAAGGACATTGTAGCTGCTACCTGGAGATTAGGACAATTCAGATCAAGGAGGCCCCATAAATGAGCTAGCGAGTAATAGTTCGGGCTCAGAAGAACTTCTCCTGGATCATGATACCAAATATGTGGATCATGAGGTCGCCTTTATGAATAAGGTAGCCAATGCTCCAGATCAGGATGCCCAATGTTGTGTTAGGGAGACATCTTTACTGGCTCGGGAAGCCCCCCTTTACAAGCTAGGAACCCCTGTTCTGGGTTAGGACGCATTCTCCATCCTCAGCAGGAACCATTTCTGGAACATGGGCCCCTCTCAGGCATCATATAAATGTGACTCCGGATCAGGATGCCTATTTTGAGAAAGTGAGACCCTTTGGCTGGATTCGGAGGCCCCTTCGTGAATCGGAAGCATCCTGTTCTGGATTAAGAGGCCCTCTAAGCATCTGGAGGCTGTTTTCTGGAACAGGAGGCCCTGTGTTAGGTTAGCAAACCCTTTGCTGGAAAGTTAGAAGGCACTATTCCGGAGTTTTTAACTTCCGACATTTATTTACTTATATATGATACATGTAACAGATTGATAAGGAATGCATGCACTCGGTACTCTGCCCCTTGAATATTTCACTGCGCACGAGGCCCCCGTGGGGGGGGGGGGCAGTTTGTCCAGGAGGCCCCCTAGAAAATCCTGCCCCCTTCTCCATCAACTCAAAATCTGTGGTGCCGACTCTGCTCTCGGTAAAAAGGCATCAGCCATAGGCCCCAGAGATGCAACGGAGCCGGAATTAATTTAATATGTGCTGTGGGGAGGGAGTGAACGCCGTCAAATGTTGGCCCACGCATCGCTGCTGCCAGTAGGCAATGAAAAGCAGCGACAGCAGTCTGACTGCAAGTGGTACTGTTTGACATCGATTTACAAGGTCTTAGCCCGGCTGGTATGCTCCCTACTTTGACCAGCTCCGATGCAGAACGCTTAGAAATAGAAGCGTTGCAAAGGCAGAGAGGCAAGCTTGGTTCAACGGAAAAATGTTGTGACTTTTTGGAGGGGCGTCCATGAGGTCGCTTGCACACCCATCATGCGACATTCGGCATGCCCATGATGAAAATGGTACCACAACATGCTAAAATGATGACCGAAACCCACAGTATGGATAAACACCCAAGGAAAGGAAAAAAAAGGCATGTGAAGGCGCGTGAACATGACAAGGCCTGTGAACTATGATGATGCAAATTTTAGTTATCACTCGGGTAACATTCAAGGTTTCAATTAAGCAAATTCGAATTCCCCAGGCTCACCTGGTCGCATTTGCTTCTATTTCTCCAAGTAGATACAAAATACCACGCGCTCAAGGGCGCACGCACCGAGGAAGGAAGCCGGGCGTTAGCTGCAATTTGGGAATTGAAACATACTGCATTACCTTCGTGACAATTCTTAGAAAAGTTGGCATGAGAAACTCTCCCGTGTTTCTGGTTTTCAAGAGACTGTAGTCGGTGGCGTTATCACTTAGCGCTGGCCCATGTGGTAATCGACCCCTCCCGGAAAGCGAGAGACAAGGTGTCCAATCTGGACAGGTAACACGCGGTGAATATTTCAAATAATGTCTAAGTGATCTGCTTACTTGTAATCAAAACGCTAAACGGAAATATGTTACCTGACCCGGGCCTTCACTTTCCCTCCTCAACCAGCGAAGCTTCTGTGAAAGCATGTATACAGCAGGAGGCCGATCCTGAGTGATGACGTCACTGAGTTCATGTCCAATTCTCGCATTCCTTGCTTGCTCCGCGGAAGTCATGGCGTCTCGTCGCCGCCGCGGCTCCGCTGGCGGTCTGCTCACGGCCGCCTGGCGCGGCTCCGCTGGCGGTCTGCTCACGGTCGCCTGGCACGGCTCCGCTGGCGGTCTGCTCACGGTCGCCTGGCACGGCTCCGCTGGCGGTCTGCTCACGGTCGCCTGGCACGGCTCCGCTGGCGGTCTGCTCACGGTCGCCTGGCGCGGCTCCGCTGGCGGTCTGCTCACGGTCGCCTGACGCGGCTCCGCTGGCGGTCTGCTCACGGTCGCCTGGCGCGGCTCCGCTGGCGGTCTGCTCACCGTCGTCTGGCGCGGCTCCGCTGGCGGTCTGCTCACGGTCGCCTGGCGCGGCTCCGCTGGCGGTCTGCTCACGGTCGTCTGGCGCGGCTCCGCTGGTTGTCTGCTCACGGTCGCCTGGCGCAGCTCCGCTGGCGGTCTGCTCACGGCCACCTGGCACGGCTCCGCTGGCGGTCTGCTCACGGTCGCCTGGCGCGGCTCCGCTGGCGGTCTGCTCACCGTCGTCTGGCGCGGCTCCGCTGGCGGTCTGCTCACCGTCGTCTGGCGCGGCTCCGCTGGCGGTCTGCTCACGGTCGCCTGACGCGGCTCCGCTGGCGGTCTGCTCACGGTCGCCTGGCGCGGCTCCGCTGGCGGTCTGCTCACGGTCGCCTGGCGAGGGATGGCACCGGCGCCCGCCGCCACCATAACACTTCATCGGCACGACACTTAATTGTCGCTAGGCGAACGGGTCTGATGACAACGGCTGGGCACAACGGCGGCTATGGAGAATGGTCCATAAATATGGAACGATTGGATGTCCCGGCCCGTAAAGCCAAGCGACAGACTCAATTAAAGTAGCGGCGGAGCCCAAATCCGCCATGTTTTGACCCAGCATGTGGCCTAAGGAAGTGATGACATCAGCGTGGCTGCGCTCAGGACCTACAACAATGAAGTTTATAGAAACCCCCGGTCGTGCCTGCCACTTCATGGGGAACAGTTCATTGCATCCATGAACATGTCGTTTTTTAACGCGGGAAATCCTTACGAAGCAGGCGTGCTGGAGAGGAGAGCGACAGGTGAACCTATCAGTCAGCAATGGACAGATGGAGAGCTGTTTAGATGGACGTGAACTCATCAAGGCTCGACTTTTTCCACCACTGACTGGTGAATGGTTACAGCCACGCATGCCAGGAGACTAATAATTAAGCTCACTCTACACGCTTTGTATCTGCTCCCAATTTTACGCTGTGCAGTCTCTTTTACGTCAGTCCGAACGACAGATGTATTTACTTCAGCTGGAAAAGAGCACACCGTAACTAAGCGGCTGCCTGACATGCATTTCTATCCCGCCTCTGGCAACAACACGTCGCGAAAACAGACGCATGCGCCGACGAGTCCTTTTGGCCCGGGTTGCAGCGGGTCGAGCCTGACTGGTCCTCCGCGCTGGGGGAGGGAAGGGGGGGGGGGGTGGGGCGGAGGGGTCTGCGGCGGCTGTGACGGACGGCGGCCGCACTGCGGGCTCGCGCGTCCGCTCTTAAGAGTGGGCGCAGCAACTGGGGCAGACGGCCGCCGGATTTAATGAGCCGTCGGCCAGCCCGACTGGCGCGGCCGCACGCCACGGCCAGACGAGGCCACCAGCTGGTGGCGAGGTCACCGGCTGGTGGCGAGGTCACCAGCTGGTGGCAAGGTCACTGTCGGTGGCGAGATCACCAGCTGGTGGAGAGGTCACTGCCGGTGGCGAGGTTACCAGCTGGTGGCCAGGTCACCGGCTGGTGGCGAGGTCACCGGCTGGCGGCGAGGTCATCGGCCGATAGTGAGGTCATCGGCTGGTGGTGAGGTCAACGGCCTGTGATGAGGTCGCCGGATAATGACAAGGTAACATCATGTCATCGTAGCTGAGCATTCAGTATGGTTTTGCTGTCAGTGATGACAGAACTTCAGTTGAGATGAAGTGAGGAATAAGGCAAGCGTGCCTTTTGCATGTTTTATTTCACCGTTTAAGGCAAAGGGGCAACACTAAATGTTGCCTGGAGTTAGGGGCAGTTTGCCCCTCCCTGGCTCTTTTATTTGCCGCCCCTGTTCGATATTCGAATGGTTAGAATGGGTGTACTGGCATATTTCAATGCTTAATTCGAAAAACAAACGCCTTTTTAATTTTCTGAGGTGGCTCATAATCATTTTACCCAAATTCAGAAGCATTTATGGCGGCCACGTCTTGTTCACATGTATTGACAATAGAACGCCGAGGATTTGGAGGGCATCACTGTCAAAACGATATGTTTGTGTTAACGCGTGCTAGGGTAGGGAAATTTAACCAGCCCGAAGCTCTTTCCAAAAAACTTGGCCATCACGAAGTCAAACACGAAGCCAAAAGAAATTTTCCTTGGTGAGGTAGTTTTTGACGCTTATTTAGAATTTCTTAATCGGAAGGAGCTCAACAAATGTGTTATTTGAGCTTCATTAAGGTCAAAAGAAATCACTCAGGTTTTTGGTCACAGTACCTTATGAAAGTCATATAAGAACGCTAGCCTGACCCGAAATGAACAACAGGAATCTTTTGCTAAGTAAATATATCCATGCTTGATGTGATTACGTAAGGTGGCTTGATAAAACTTCGGACACCAATCTGGAGTTTTACCTCTGTCCTTATTTTATCCGAAGGTCATAAAATGTAGTTCACAACTCACATACAGACCTACCTATGCTGCCTGTGAACTTGGTGTCTCAAACCTCTCAGTTTTGGAATCTTAGGAGTCAAATTGACCCCTTCCCCCACTCAAGCAGTATCGTGTTCAGCCGGCCATCCGGGCGTGTGTAAAGGGCAGAAAATTGTGATGGCTTGGTACCGCTCGTGTAAGAGGATTAGACAACCTGAAAGAAGGTACTTGCTGCAAACAATTTGTTTATTTGTTAGCATTTGGATGTTACTTTGTTTAAACACTGAAATGATTTAGGCTATATGAATGTCGCCCTCTGCATTAGAATAGTCGCTAAGTCCTTTTACTCG